AGGATGCATGCTCCCACAGAAAATGATTTTCAGAGTTTGAAGCGGATTCTACGTTTTGTCAAAGGAACTCTTGATCGTAGTCTTGTCTTTCAGCCTGGTGATCTTCAGCTGCGTGCTTACTCGGATTCAGACTGGGCAAATGATATGAGTGATGGGCGCTCTATTACAGGATATTTAGTCTATCTGGGACCAAACTTAGTTTCCTGGAGTATAGAGAAACAGACTCGTGTGTCTAAGTCTTCTACTGAGGCAGAATATCGAGCATTGTCTGCTGCAGCATCTGAGGTTATGTGGTTAACCTACATTTTGGCCGATCTCCGTGTTCCCATTCCTCCGCCTCATCTTCTTTGTGATAATCAGTCAGCAATATGTCTCACCAAGAATCCTGTTTTTCACAAACGTATGAAACATGTAGGGACTGATTGTCACTTTGTTCGAGAACAAGTCATTGCTGGTACCATGGGTGTATCTCATGTTTTTTTTGAGGATCAATTAGCTGACCTGTTGACGAAAGCCCTACCTTCACCACGGTTCCAGAGTCTCGTATCCAAGCTTCCACTCGTTACACGGAGTTCAGCTTGAGGGGGGATGTTAGACATTCATAATTAGTATAAATATTGTTTATGGAAATATTGTAATTTAGGTAGCTACCATTATGATTCCTAATTAGGTTAGGAATCTACCTCCTATTTATATACATATGTATTCTCCATATTCAATTAATAAAGAGTCAATTATTCTTTTATCAACAGTAAGGATTGTAATTTTTTGCAATTTTACTGAGCCAATCTTCTATTATTAATTTTACGTATTGTTTAAAATTAGTCTTTTTTACAGAGTTAACTGGCCATTAATCTCCAATTATTCGGGACAAATTTTAAACGGAGCGTAGCGTAACGGACGTGTTAATGGCTACTTAATTACCATTAACACGTCATTATTGTGCCAAAAATGCCATTGATTAATAGTGTAGGAGTTACACTTTTTAAAATTCCTTAGTTATAAATATCAAGGGCTCTCCATTGTTTAGTGTGGTGTGTTTTATGTGTGGGTTTCACACGTGAGGAAGAAAAAGAAAAAGAAAGGGAAAACTTTCTTGTTTAATTTTAAGAGAGAGCTCTTGATTTTCCGGCCAAATTTCCGGTCATCCCCTTCAAAGTTTTTTGGTCGCCAACGTTCCTACGTTGTTTTTGTTCGTTGGTATGTGGTTGGTCCGTACATCTCCACACACGATAACGGTTTTATCTTGGGATGAGAGTGCCCACGTTTTCCCGGTACGCTAGGCGGACACTACTACCTTAAGGACAGCTCCGGCGACTCCGCTGTCCTTCACGGTGTTTTGTTTTGCAGGTTTAGTTCATAAAGACCTCGCTGCATTCTGCCCTAGTGCATAATGTCCTTGCAGCCCAGTGCATAATGTCCTCAATGTCCAATGCTTAATGTCCTCATACAATAAGGTTGTTTGAAGATATATAAATTTATTTTCAATTCTGTTTATCTTGTAATATTCTGAATAAGTTATAAATTCAGAATTTTATTTATTTTTATTTTCCGAGGCCGATCATTTTCTCCGTCCGTTGTAATCCGTACAAGAATTGTAACAGATCAGACTAGATCAGATAAGATCAAATCAGATCAGACCAGATTAAATCAGATCCAATCAAGAATTATTATTATTATTATTATTATTATTTATCATCATCATCATCATCATTATTAGTAGGAATTTTTATTATTATTATTATTATCATCATTATCGTTATCGTTATCGTTATTACTCCAAAATTTTTAAATTTAATTTCACACTTTTTACTTGTTTCACTTGATACGATTCTTTCAAAAAATAAATTTAATTTCTTTTGGAAAAATATAAGAATAAAGAAAATGAAACTTTTATGCGATTATAATTTATGTAAAAAATCATATCAGATAAAAAAATAAGTTGTTGGTTATGTATATTCACTTGATGTACTAGAGGCCTTGATTTGGGTTTAATAATATGAGCATTTGTTTATATATATACATATATATATATATATATACATTAAAATCAATTCAATTTTACTAAATTTACATTATAACTAAATATATTTTTTCATATATTATGGTCAAATATTGTACAGTGTGAGCAAAAAAGCTCAAACAGTGATAATTTTTTTGGGACGGAGTAAATTATATTTTAAGTTTACGTTTAAAAATAATTATACTAATATTATATCTATACCAAAACAAAATATATTATTTTTTAATCAAAGTTTAAAAACATTAAATAGGAAAAGTCTTTCGTAGTAAATAAAAATATTAGGTAGGAAGTAAGTTTCCCCTTTTTGGGAACAAATTAATAATTTTAACTCATCACCCAAGCTAGGGGACGCACTGACTATATTTTATATTGTACGTAGTTTTGTTTGGTATGAACCGGTGGAGGGTGAATGTTGTGCTTATTGGTACAATTTGTCGCTATTCATAATTAATTATAAGCAATTATGTAGGCGTAACAACATAATTAAACCTAACTTCATCCATCTTTGTGTGATTTATTTGTATGAAGATAGTAATCAATGACAAGAAAGAAAATCCCTTCGTCCCCTTAAGATCTTCCCGTTTTAATTTTCTGTGATTTTTAAAGAGAGTTGAAAAAGTTGAAAGTTTACCAAAATATCTTTAATGAAAAGTTTACTCAAATAATACAAATATAGTAATTTTTCCAATGTAATATCATATACTCCCTCCGTCCCCTTGTATTTGTCCACATTTGACTTTTGGAACTGTTCATTTAAGCATTTTGACTCATCAAATTCTCTCAATGTGTAACTCTAAATATAGTCATGTGTGATCTTTTTTGATTTGTTTTAACATATAGATTATTAATATATAATTTTTATAATTTTTTAATATACAAATTACAAGATAAAATGGATTAAAGAAGTGTATTGGATGATGTGTAAAAACGAAAGTGGACAAATACAGGGGGACGGAGGGAGTATTTATACTTTATTTTCTAATGTGATAACAATGTTCAATGTCCACTAGTCATTATTCAAGTAAATATTCACCGTCACTGAACATTGCCCAAACTAAATATCCACCACCAATAGACATTATTTAAGTATTATATAAGGTATAAAAAGAATCTAGTATTACATGGGGAAAGAACATACTGGTATATTTTAGTACTATTTAGTGTAAATTTCACTTCTTCAAATACAATTACTTAACCTTTTTCGATGTTGATTTTTAAAAAAAAGGGTCATCTAAATCCAAAATATAAATGTCACTTTTTTTAAACGAAAGAAAAGTAAATTAAAATCCACATTAGCTTAGACTTACTTTGATGAGTGATGCTTATATGGTTTCAAGATTCATATTTTAAATATTGATTTTCTCACATTTTTTGATGGGCTTGGATGTAGACATTTTTTCCTGCAATAGACTCTCTTCTTATATGCTACAAATGCATTAATGTCCATAAAAATGAGCGTATACTTTAGGTACATGGAAAAATTTGCCTACTTTGATGACCAAATTAACATTTAAGAAGGTGAGAAGAAAGGGACAATTTATGCTTTTGAATCAAAGAATAAGATATTTAGGGCTTCTTTGGGAATATCGTTAGAATTTAGCGTTTTGCAAACAATATCTACGTACGGGCAGCGTTTAGCGTTAACTTTTTCAAAGTAATCTGCATGCATCGTTAAATTTTATCCAAAATGCTGACGCTAATCTCTAATGGTAATCCCAAACAAGTCCTTAATCTCTGCCTGGCCTAAGGGACTAATTGCACAAATAAAGAACCCAAAAATGTAACTTGGCCCCATAAAAATATCAATCAATCGGTTAATCATGACGGATCTGGCCGGTGACCTTAATTAGCCAAATAACTATGGATGGTTCCAGTCTTGATTTTGAAGGCACGAATGACTCTAACAATAAATTCGTGAGATATTACAATAGTTTAAGTTATTTAAACAATTAAACCTCAAAAAAAATTTATAAAATATTTGGGTCTTTCATCTTTGGGATATTACAAAAAGTTTACTTTAAAAAAAATCTTGTTTTAATAGGCAATGCAGTTTTTATTGTTTAATTCATGATAATAAATTTTGGTTCAATTCGAAAAAAATACTTAAGGGATACATAACATTAAGTTATTGGGTAAGAATATAATGATGATGAGTAAACTCTTGTGTCTACTTCAAGAACAAAAATACACCAATACTTTATGCACATAACATACGACATATTCAGTGGTTTATTCGTTACGCTAACATCACAATAATTATTACTCAATATATATTAAACCGCACTTAATTACCAATACAACAATACCCACTCCACCCAAGGGGGCAAAACCGAGTCCCGGAGCAGCGCTCCTAGATTTTTTTTAAACGTAATATAAAATGAGAGATTTCTATATGTATCGCTATATATAGTGTAGCTAAAATTACCAATCGAGCGGCGAAGCAAATATACGATAAATAGGGAAAGCACAAACAAAAACTAAGGACTATGAAGTTTTTTTAGTCCAATTTTTTTTTTAAAATGCCAAGTTAATGTCATTTTCATTAATTTATATGGTGTCCTAATTACTCTAGACATTAATCTATGCATATTCTTAAAATATGCTCCATGCATTCGTCCCAAAAATATTGTCACAATTTGATTTTTTTGTCAAAATGTGTACTATTTTGGACACAAACTGAATATAGTTTTAAATCAATAAATTTTATAAAAAGTTAGTACTCCGTATATCATAACTATACTTTAAAATGAATCAATTTTACTAAATTTAATTACATTATAACGAAGTATACTTTTTTCATAAGTTATTGTCAAAGTAGTACACTGTGACCAGAAAAACTCAAACAGTGACAATGTTTTTGAGACGAAGGGAGTAACATTTTAAGCTTACATTTAAAAATATTGAGAAATAAAAATATACTCCTTTCGTTTAACAAAATCCTTCCTTTTTCGTTTTTTTGAATTCCATAAAATACTTCTAATTTCTATTAAAAAACCACTTTTACCCTTACTTTTTCATACCCTACCTATCACATCATACTTTTTCACTAATAAATAAACTATCACATCTTACTTTTACCCATCACATTAGGGGCAAAATTGGAAAGTCAACCAAAATTACACTTTCCTTATTTTTGCCAAAAGTCAAAAGTAGAAAGGCCAAGGGTTTAAAGAACGGAGGAAATATGATACTGCATTAGGAAAATTAGTATGTTTTAGTACTATTTAGCTAAATCCTCTTCTTCAACAAGATCGATCAATTATTCTCAAATTGTATCAAGAGTTAACCAGGGATTAGGGGTAGGAAACATCAATGTTACGCGCTAGGCACCGTACGACCCCGAATTACCCATGACATGTGATTCTAATGTCATTGCAACCCTTCCGAATTTAAAAAGGGCTAAAAAGGTATGTGAATCACGTATTCTTTTTAAAAGAAAATAAATTAAGAAGTGTGTTTTTTTTTAAAGATATCACATTCGAAACATGACTTTCTAGAATTTTTCTTATTGTGATATAGATGGAGTACTATGTGTATTAGAGGTGTTGATGATGGATAAGGATATATCATGTGCGTGTACGTGTGTAGGAGTGTGAGCCAACAAAACCGTGACAATAAATACATATATATACTCTTAATTAGCTTGCCTAGTTAGCTTACTCAATCCCAAATCCTTTTATAAATTGTAGAGCTGGTGGGCGTTGCGTAACTGATAAGATAAAGAATTCCAATGGGGTAATAAGACCCGATTTTAATTTCCGACCATGTGGTACCAGATGCAGGCTCCACTCTTTGCCAGTAATCTGCGATTAAAGTCTAATTTACATATTCTCAATGACTGTCCGACAAGATCTGAAAGTGGGATGGGTCCATCCTTTTTATTTATAAGTCGTTCAAAGGCGTTCACACAAAGGGCATTGGGCATTTTGCCACGTTGTAAAACAATAGCTAGCCGGCCGTCAAAGCAATATATATATAATTTGTCAACCCTTTGAATAGATATGGGAAAAGGGGGCATAGATGGAGGACACGTGTGCCCTCCAACCTCTAATCATCGGCGACATGCCCTTCCAAAAAAGGGCCGCTTCCAAACGGAAACGAAAAGACTTGTTTTTCCCCGGTTCTTCTCATTCCGTCACCAAACCAAACTGAAATTCATTAAGGTCTATTTAAACACTTGTTGTTCTGCCACGTTAATTGTCATGCGCGTGAATTTGTGGTGTAATACTTTGTTGGAGTTACATAATCAACTATTCCTCCCTCCCTAAACATCTCCCTTTATTGATTTTTTGAAAATTTAAAAGAGATATACTTTTGTTTTGAATTTTTAAAAAAATACCTTTGATGTGATGAGTAAAAGTAAGATGTGATGTGTACATTATTAGTAAAAAGATATGATGTGACAGATAAGATATGAAAAAATATGGAATAAAAGTACAGTAGTTTTTTAATAGATGAGGAAACACCTTTTAAGGACAACCAAAAATGAAAGGGGAAGATCTTTTAGGGATGGAGGGAGTATACAATCTCATTTTTGTAGAAATTCATTGTTACTCCTTAGGGTCCATAAATTAGTGGAAATTAAAACGGAGAGTAATATTTATACAATTTATTATTTAAATAATTTAAAGTAAATCATAGCCCCTCCGATTCGTCTCCATTTATTTTTCATCACGCGTTACGAGTTTTGACCAAATTTATTTTTGATTTAATTTATTTGACTGTAGATGTAAAATTCATATATATTAAAGAGTTTATTTATTTTAAAAATTTATATGTGACAAAATTAGGCTTTAGGAATATTATAAAATGAGTTATAAAAATAAATAAATAAATAAAGTAAATCTAAAATTTAATTATGTGAATAATGTCTAAGAAAATTTATAGGCATTCGAGACAGTACTAACGAACTCATATTTTTTTTATACTATCTATAATACCATAGTTACCTATATACATACACAAATAGTTGCCACACTGACAATTATAAGACACTTGGCAAATGTGGTAACTTGTATCAAAGAAGGATTCCTTAGTTTTTTATTCAAACGAAAAAGGACGAACCCCATCCATGAAGACTAACCAAATGATCACTAGGATGAGGTAAATTGAAATTTGATTGTACATTGACCTCAATGAGTGGAGTCTACAATAGGTACTTACAGATGTCTTATGTTTAATACATTCGCTCGCAGCGCATTTCATGTCAACAAATGTGGTGTATTTCTTCCAACATAAATGGATTCATGTCTTAGATTAGTGGGTTCTCTGTTGGTGTGTCTAAGTAGTGCCGTGTGTTGGAACAACCCTTGTTTTTTTCGGCCGTCCAAATCCCATTCACCCGCCCACACGCCTTCACTTATTCCATCCGTTCCAGTGTTTTTGTCCACTTACCTTTTGGCACATCATCCAATGCATTTCTTTAATCTATTTTATCTTGTAATTTGTATATTACAAAATTATAGAAATTATATATTAATAATCTATATGTTAAGACAAATCAAATAAGATCACACATGACTATATTTAGGCTTATATATTGAGAGAATTTGATGAGTCAAAATGCTTAGATGAACAGTTTCAAACGTCAAAAGTAGACAAAGATAGACCGACCGAGGTAGTATTATTTAGGACAACGCCTCTTATATAAACCCAAACAATTTCACCATACTTCTCCATTCATCGTCCTCTCCCCTTCCCTACCAAAAGCTACCCAAGCTAAGTTAAGCTACCCACCCACCACCGAATCCCCTTTCTTCCCCGCCTGAAAATGAACTGGAACAGGGGCCGTGTGATCGGGCGCGGCTCCTCCGCCGCCGTCTTTGCGGCCACGTCTTCCCAATCCGGGGAGGTATTCGCGGTGAAGTCCGCCGTGCTCCCCCGGTCGGAGCTTTTAGAAAGAGAGCAGAGGATTTTGTCCGCTCTGAGCAGCCCTTGGATTGTTGGGTATAAAGGGTTCGACGTCTCCGAGGAGAATGGGGTGCCGACGTTCAATCTCATGCTCGAGTTCATGCCCGGTGGGACCCTTCTCGACGGAATCCGGCGGCGCGGCGGGAAGCTCTGCGAGTCGGAGATCGGAGACTACGCGAGACAAATCTTACTCGGACTGGAGTACCTGCATTCCAATGGAATCGTGCATTGCGACATCAAGGGCCGGAACATTTTGTTGTCCTGCGGCGGCGGCGGGGCTAAGATCGCCGACTTCGGATGCGCGAGACGAGCGGGAGAAGATGACGCGTGTGCCGGCGGAACCCCGATGTTCATGTCGCCGGAGACGGCGCAGGGGAAAGAACAGGGCTTCCCGGCGGACATTTGGGCATTGGGATGCACGGTGATCGAAATGGCCACCGGCGGCGGCTCGCCGTGGCCGAAGGCCACCGACCCTGCATCGCTACTCTACCACATTGGACACTCAGGGGAGTCGCCGGAGATCCCGGATTTCCTCTCCGACCAAGCGAAGGACTTCCTGGGAAAATGCCTCACAACAAACCCCGGAGATCGGTGGACGGCGGAGCAGCTCCTGACGCATCCCTTCTTCCGCCAGAAAAATCCACCTCCTAAAGAAGAACCGGCGGAGAACAAGAGTTCTCCGACGAGCATCCTGGAACAGGGGATATGGGCGATCTCAATCCACCTCCGTACGGAGGAGGGATCAAAAGAGGAATATTATTCATGTTCCCCTCTAAGAAGGGTAAGAAATTTATGTTCCGAATCGCCGGAAGGGGCAAAGGGGGAATGTAACGAGGAGGAGGAGGGGTGGACCACCGTGAGAGGTGGTGGGGATGGAGGAGGAATTGAAACAGGGGCGGTGGTGGAAAGGTGGTGTTGCTTTTCACGTGGGAACAAAAAAATAATCATTTTTAAATGAAAGCAATGTTAAGTAGAAGAAGTAGGCGCAGCATTAGGTGTAGGGTACGTGCCCTAAACGGTAAGGGTACAGAACAGTTAGGGTGGGTATTTGGAAAATGCTAAACACCCCCACCCTTGCTACCACCCATGCCCCTTACATAAACATGTGGTAGGGAGTAAAGAAAATTAAAATTAGAGGGTGGGTAGAGAATGGGTAGAGATAAATATGTGGTGGAGAAATGGGTCGAAGCAAGGTTGGTAGCAAGGGTGGGGGTGTGTAGCATGGTCCATTCTGTTTTTTGAGAGCCGTGAATGTAGCTGTTTAAGAAAGAAAGAGAGAAAAAAGAACTGCTCCATTTTGTACTGGAGTATACGGAGTAATATATATTCAGTTCAATTTAGTAAAAAGTAGTTGCATTTATTCGACATTGCCAAACGCGGTCTTGGGAGATTCCACGGCCGGTCGAGTGACCTGACCTTAAGTAACTTGTGCCCGGCCGGCGGGCTGATCGCCGGTCTTGGGCAGTTTGGATTCTTGAGCTCCTGCTGCTTTGCAGATTGCAGCAGCATTCATTTTACGGTTGACGACTTCTTCTTTTTTTTTTGTTCTGGTTTTGTGATTTAAAAAGTCAACTGTATAAAAATAAATTCTGGTTCTTGACCTTTTTTGTTGACGGATCCAAGGGATATATGAGTAATTAATGAAGTACGGGATGTCACAGTAAATCTGTAAAAGTATAGAACACCACATCAAGTTGTGACTATTGGCTAACTAGAGGGGAACGTAAGCCTAAATTTTTTTTGATGAGTTATCGGTCCAAAAGTTGGAATGGCCTAAATTTTTTTTGATGAGTTATGATTACACATTTGATAATCCTCTCTAAATACAAAGGAAAATGCTAGGGTACACCAAAAGTGTACCCCAAACATCCCCCACCCCCTCCATCACCACACAAAAAGGCAAGAAATTTTCAAAAAAAATTAAAAATAAAAACAAAATAAAATGAATGGTTAATAGGAGGGTGGTGTACATTTGGGTACACTTTTTGGTGTACCCCTAGCATATCCCAAACACAAATGCTTAGAGCAGTGGCAATAGGCATAACGCCCACCCACGTTTGGGGGGGCGTTAAACACCGCCCCCTCCCTCGTTATCAGCGCGTTAAAACTTCCGCGTCAAAGTTTTGACGCAATTTGAAGCTGTTATCACGCCTTTTTTCTTCTTTTTTTCCCCTCTTTTTTCTTCTTTTCTTCTTTATAAATTAAATTAATTTTTTTTAAAATTCAACACAAATACAAATTTCTCTCTATCTATCATCTTTTTTAAAAAAATTATTATTCAAGTTTTTTTTATTTTTTCATGAATGTAATTTTTTATTTAATGAATGTAATTTTTTTATTTAATGAATGTAATTTTTTTCTTTAATGAATGCAATTTTTAACGAAATATTCTCGTTTTAATTCTCTTAAGTAATTAAATATTTAAATTTAATTAATTTAATTTTAGAAGATGTGTATTTAAAATGTAAAAAATGAAGGTTTGAAGCCCCCGTTTGAAGCCCTGAGGCTTCAAACCCATTTCCATTGAAACTGTGAGGTAAGTTAAAGCTGACGTGGCAGAGAGAGAAGGTTTGAAGCCCCGGGGCTTCATGGGTATTTCCAGTGCCCTTATAATTGATTGTCATTCTCGGAATCAAGGATGACAATTCCATCCGAACCCGATCTTAACTGACTCGATCGAACAATAAAATATCCAAATTTGAATTGAGAATAAAATAATTTAAACCTGACTTGAAATTTTTCAGCTGAATCTTACATTTGGTCGGGTCAGATGTCAGTTTATAACTTTACCCACCCTGACCCGAACCCGCCCCAAACCGACCAAAACCCAAATATTTTACGGAGTATAACCTAAAACCCTATCCACAAGTATAGTGAACACTTCATGTAATCTCTTTTTTTTCGATTCTTTGGCGCAACCGCATCTCTCTCTTGGTCCTTACATCGCATCTCTATGTGTTTTTCATTCTTCTTTTATGGCCTTTCCTTCCTTGCATTTCTTCCTTCATCGCATCTCTGGTATGTCTACTGTCTTGCTCTTAACCACGCAAACGTCTTACAAGGTGCTACTATACAAAACAAGCTTTTTATAATTATTTTTATAATTTCTCAATAAAAAATGAGAAACAAAAGAATTTAGACTTGTACTTTTTAAAGCTCTTAGGGGTACATCGAATTGGTTATTGGTGAAATTACAGATTCGGGTTGAATTTCGGGTTCAAAATTTCAAGTTCGGGTCAGTTCAGATTTTTAGTTTAAAAGTCGAGTTTCGAGTTGGGCTCAGATTTTGGTTTTAAAAGTCGGGCCGGATTTGAATATAGCACTATCCGATCCAACCCGACCCGTTGCTATCCCTACTAGGAATGACCATCACCAGTGTTTTTTAGCAAATGCTTTTTGTTTAAAGATCATTACTACTATACTTTCACCCTTATATACTCGGTATTAATTACTCCCTCCGTCCGGAAATATTCTTTCCATTTGACTTTTTACGGTCTCCAAGATTACACTTTGACCACTAATATCTTTATTTATACATGGATATATTTTATAAAAATTTGATATTTGAAAACTATATTTCAAAATGAATATATTTATATTAAAGTTATTTCCTAATACAATATATTTAAAAATACATCAAAAGAGTTTCTCCGTATTAAACTAGATGTGACATAACTATATTATTTTATGAAATTGACAATAAAAATAGACATAAAAATAGATAAAGTTTGACCTCATAAATAATAAACGAGAAAATAATTTATGAATAAAAAGAGCATATACATGATACTGTACAAAGGGAATACAAGTAGCAATAATCTTAGTATTAGGATTTGGTGGACTCAATGTTGGAGATAATAACGATAATGCAGATCAATCAAGAGTTGTGTATATCATTTTCAGATTGAGTATTTTGGTTGTTCAATCCAAAATTCAACCGGATAAAACTCAAAAATTACAAGAACGAGTATGGGATTGTTGTGAAGTTTTCGAACTCTTATTCGACCAAAGATTTCTGGGAATATATAGAATTGCGGTGGAGAAGAAAAACACAATCGCGTCTTTTTATCCAAGACGTGCGATCCTTCTCGCGGAACCTTTTGAACAAATCGGTGTTATCCTTAATGATTTTTCTTTTTAAAAAAAATTCAAAAATAAAAATTCAAATGAATTTTTTAATATAGCACTTTGTCCAAAATAAAAAAATTTAATACTCCGTAATAATAATATGGGAGGGCAAAATCGTGATGGTGGTCAAGTAAAATGAGACAACTTTTCTTCACCGTTGATATGTAATGAGGGAGGGAGGGGCAATGGGGCATGGTGGAGGGTGATCAAGCCTCTCCTCACGCACAAAACCTAAGAATTCCCTCTTCAATAACTTGTATCCTAAAATTTATTGTAATTCTTCATTTGTAGATCTATCATTGGTTTATTTTAAAAAAGCCTTAAGTCACACGTGATGTGATGGGGTGCAAAACCGAACACAATACTATTTTTTAATCGATATTGGCCTTGTTTGGGAGAGTGTTTTCAATTAGCATAAGCGTTTTGGATAAAATTTTAATGGTATTGATAAATTCTAAAAATGATAATGCTATAGGCTATCGTTAGATAACTTTTTCAAAAGCCTAAAGCTAACTTCTAATGTTGATGCCAAACAGAGTCATTAAACACTTGAGTTCTGTCCTAAGCAATGGGTCAAATATATTAACCACTTGAGTTATGCCCTAGACAATGGGTCAAATATTTTAACTTGCACAGGACGTGACCGCTAGAGAGAACCATCTTGTCAAAAGCCACTAAAAGATCACATCTATACATGATGTCAACCCGTCCACAAGATTTATTTAAATGTTATACGTAAAAGAAAGGTGTAACCCCCACCCTTAAAGCCCCGGCTCGTCAAAGTAATGAAGGGATAAATCACGATTTAAATGTTATACTTTTTCCATCTCAAAAATGAATTACAATTGTTTTTTCTCCTCTTAATAACTTTTATTTATTTATGTATTTTTATTAAGTATTGGATAAAATAAAATATTTTTATCATCTCTCATTTTGTAAAACTTTTGATGTATTTTTTTATATGTAATTTTTATTTCTTATTGATATAACAATTTGTAAATAAAATGATTTTCAAAAATAAATTTTTTTGCCTCATACGGAGTATCTCCCAATTTAGAGTATGTACATTTTGAAGGAAGGGTGCAAAAACCGTCATCATCAACATCATGATCGGTGCAAAGCTAAGAAGACTGATGAGCAAGAGCCATGAAATCCATAAAAACACGATAATTTAATACACTTGCATATATGCATATAATTAAACAGACAGCAATGTTCATTGTTAACCCAGAAATATAAATATGATATATCAAAAGAAAGACAGTGTTTTGGTTGGAACTTAATGCAGCACCCAGAGATCATAACCACCATCAATCTCAAGCAATGGCACCCCAAGTTTCTTGTTATCTGAACGAGACCCGTTTTCACTTTTCACCAATAGCACGCAATTGGCTTCGAAGATGTTCGTTCTTCTCCAGCAATTCCCCATACTCGTCTACTATTTTCTCGTACTGTTGTTTAAGGGACTCAGAATTCGCTCTATTGGCTCTCACATCTTCGCGCTCTGATTCCAGCACTCTTATCTTAGACTTTAGTGAGGATATCTCTTCTTTTAGGGAACTGACCTTATCTCCACTCTTACCGTTATCGAAGCTTTGGTCTTGTTTCTTGGCAGCTTCCATAACCTTCCTCAGTACGCGCAGCTCTCTTATGTAGTGGTGCAGCCTGTCTATCATAAGCGAAAGAAACAGTGCAAACCCTGCATGTAAGCACCAGATATTATATTGTTAGATCATCCATCACAAAGAGGAACTGGGAAGAAACTATGGACTATGGAGTGTTACTTCCTTCCTAAATGAACCATGCAATTTCCATTAAGGAAAGCGATATATGTTGTTCAAATTGTTTTTCTATCTTCTAAATAACTATTAACTAGGCTTTTACCTTTTCTTAAACTGTCTGCCAAGTCTAACTGGGCTCTAAGTTAAGGACGGAAAGAGTATTAGAGTTTGGAATGTTTTAGTTGAGGGTTAACTACATCTACATCCCTCAAGGTTGGGTCAAATTACCGAATGGCCCTCTATCATGAAATCTAGCTTACCAAATCACACTACTTAACTGTGAAGATTAGACAAGAGCCCCTTGATAGCCCAGCGGTTTTGCAAACAATGCTGAAAGATGAAAGGCTATAATAATGATATTGCTAGAGATGGAAATGCAACTGCATCGCATTTATGAAACTTTATACTACTCCGTACTTCAATTAATCTAATACGATGAAATGCAAGGTTCATAGTCAAACTACACAATTTGAATAACCCCACAAGCACCAACTAAAATGGGAACATCACTCATAGATCTTTAAAAAAAATAAACATCACCCGTGATAGTAATTGGTGTATAACTATATTATACAAGCTACATCACCGAATCATTCACAGAATTGAGAAGAGAAAGTGCACTTACAATCAAATTTAACTAGAGTACTTAAATTGCCTACAATCATTTTCTTCATTGAGGGAAAATAATTTCTATTAATATAAATCCACAAACTAAAGATCCTACACTAGAAAGATGAGCAAAGAGCATGACTAAACCACATGTTTATAGAAACTTGTAAATGTAGGTGTTTTATAAGGGAAAGAAGCATTGGCATGCATATATCCTTTTATCACCGACTCGCGAGGGTCGCCACATACATTCTACAGAGTATAAGCTAAGAGCCTTGAGTAAGCCATACCTAACTCTAGCACAGTTAGAGGTTATAGTAATATAGTTACAGCACTATGAACTCGTGGGGTATAAAATACGGTGGGATTTGGATTCACAAATAATTTGTCAAAGAACTATGTTTGCCCTCCATTCCTAGAACCTCTATTTCCAACATGGCAGCAGAATGAACAAATATAGACAAGATATATAACACAGTAGAAAAATCACCTCTGAACTACAAGAGATAAACACCTGTAAATGAAGAAAGGTACCCTTTGTCTAGAAATCATTATCTTTAAAATTACTATAGAAAATGATGAATTTCAGACCCCATTGATTTATATTGAAGGCAAGATTTGATCATATTCATAGGTTCCCAACATAGGGCAAAAGAAACAGAAATTGCTGGCAAAATAAGTTCAAAATCCAGAGAGGCAAACATCAAATCGAAACCAGAAATCCAAAAAACAACTGGGAGGGCCATAGCACAACCAAAAAGGGGCAATTAATCGAGAGGGATAGAGAGAGAGACCCATGAGGGAGGCTTGAAGGACTTGGTAAGCAAGGAGGACTTGCTCAGTGGGATTGATGTTCTCGAGGGGCCGGGATTGGATGTCCCTGATGGAGTAAACGGTGTAGATCAGGAGCACGAGAACAGTGGCGCCGACGGACTTGACAACGAGAGAGCCGCGGCCGCGTTTGGCCCGGTCGATGGCGGCAATCAACAGCTTCCGCAGAGGGGTCTTGAAGAGGAGGAGCAGTATCACCGCCATCTCCACGAAAGCCACCGTGAACAGTAGCTGCGCCTGCGCTAACATTTTCGAAATCACAGCGGTCACTCTACTCCTATACAAGTACGGATTAATCAATCAGATAGGAAATCTCTATTCCTCTCGTCTGGAAGACGGTCGATCGACCGATGAGATTCAAAGCGGCGGCACCGCTCTGTGGCTAGTCGGCGACTCTGCGTAATTAACTGACCGCAATTGCGATTAATGTGTTGGATATTAAAGGATACTTGGAGTGAGAATGTGGGATATATGAATATGTCATTTTGATTTTTGTTGGATAAATGAATTTTAATCTTCTTAATCTTCAATTATTTTATTAAATTTGAGTTATATATTACTGTAAAAAAAATTAAAAATTTTCACAAATAAAATTCGCAGAACTAATTTTTGTACTAATATACAATATAATTTTTATTTTATTGATAATAATAATTTTCCTTTTTTGGACTTGAAAAATCTCATTAAATAAATATATTATGGAATGGGGGGGGGAGGTTTGTTCTATTCATCTTATTTGGTTGAAATAAATTGTGACCTTTTCTAGTCTTGTTGTGCTTGTATTTAAAATTATTTTTGATCTGATTTAATCTAGCTTATTTTAATAAGAATAAGTTGAAGAGAATAAACGTGTAATATCGTCCAACCTTTACTTAAGCTTTGTTGGGACGAAAAAAGACAATAAGTACAAAGAAAATTAGAAGAGACGAAACGAAGACAATAGAAAATAAAGAGAGATTATAACATTTGAATGAGTAGAAAATGACAAGAAAAATAATATTTTTTTGTTTTTTGTTGACAAAGAATATATTTAAAAAAAATTATTCTCTCCGTCCTTAAAAACACGTTCTAAGTCGATATTTTATGATTTTTAAGGAAAGTTAAACAAGAAAAAAATTATTAAATTACTTTTAGTGAAGTGTATGGAGTACTAGATCAGGTATAGTGTATAAATAAAGTGAGGATTATATTTCAAATGTTGAAAAATGTAATTTATACATTTTTCTTAAATAAAAAAAAAATTTCAGAATAATGTCCATCATGACCATAAATATTACCAAATACTACTCCGTATTTTGAATTGTATATATACAATGCCACATTACCATAGTACAAATTTCTATTTTGGAATAAAAATATAGAACTTTCATTTTAGTATTTTTCTATATTTTATTTGTATTTATGGTGATTTATTTAAAAACGATAAACGTGAGGAAAGTATGTATCTTTTTTCTCTTCTCCATGATAGATTCTTCTTTCTTGGGAAATCACATTAAATTTGTACTCCATATTTTCTCTTCTATTTTTTTCTCTTCCATTTTATTCTCGAACAAAACATGGGTTTATGAAAGTGATGAAAATATAAAAAAGAAAAATACTAAAGTATGAATAAACATAAAAAATATATCAAAATAGAATATTCATATTTTTATTCCTAAAATAAAAGTCAAAATGCATATTCAATGCCAAACATGCAAATGTATAATACCAAAAAATATTATGAAATATTCATATATAGTAACACACAATCACATTGCATATTTCTATTTTGGGATGAAAAATATGGATTTTCTTTGGAATAATTTACTTAAATGACATTAAAACATAATGATTTTTTCTAAATAGCATCACATGTATTTTTTCTCAATGTAGCACTTTTTGTCATTATTCATCAGTCATTATTATTGAAGTAAATATTTGTCATCACTGGATATTATTAAGTGTTATTTAATGAATAAAACAATTGAAGTGCTATTTAGAAAAATGACTTAAGTTTTAGTGTTTTTTAGTACAAATATTTCTTTTATATTTTAATATTTTATTTATATTTTACTTCTATTTGAGATGATTTCTTTTAAAATAATATGTCACGTGAATTCAGAGAGTGTTTGGAAGAAATAATCTCATTAGATACGCATTATTTATTTAAAAAAAAAAAAAGTATGAAGTACTCTAATATTTTGATTGGTTAATCAAACAGCATTGTGAATGTGTATTAGAGATTCTTAGTAAATTTGAAGGTATAACTTATCTAGATCATATGAGACTTATTATTTTAGACTAGATCTAGTATATAAAATTAAGGGGCTGTTTGTTTCAGCCTCTTAATGGTTCAGATGTCTGAATGATTCAGCACTTAATGGTTCACACTGTTTGTTTCAGCTTCTTAATGGTTCAGATGTCTGAATGGTTAAGAGATTTGCCTCTGAATGGTTAAGTATTATACAGAGTGAATGGTTAAGAGCTCTTATCTGAATTGATCAGACATTTGCCTCTGAATAGTTAAACAATATACAAGCTCTTAATGGTTCAGACCTCTTACTGGTTCAGCACTTAATGGTTCAGACCTCTTACTGGTTCAGCACTTACCCATTCAGAAGTTACCAAACAGCCCCTAAGTCAACTAAGAACCAAAATAAAATACTCAAGACAATAGAACGAATTATAGTAGGTGAGAACACTTCTAACATAGTTATTATTATCCACTATCTCATATTTTTCTTTTTATTAACTTTTTACGACTTATATATATATATATATATTCCAGTGAGAATGAAATATTATGAAAGAAATGAGATTTTTATGTGGTGCTTTAAGATGTGAGATCTAAGGATCATAAAAATTTTAAAAATAATAAATTACTAGAAATAATAAGGTAACAATTTTGTAATTAAATCAAACTTGGTCAATTGCACTCAGAGCAACTCCAATGGTAAGAGGTGTCCTGGAGAGATATATATCTCATTTACCTCTCCAAATGATCAAATTTACCTTTCTAAAAAGTGTACAACTCCAATAAAGGAAGGTAAATCAAAAGGCAAAAGAGGAAAAAAATCCATCTTCATACATTATTGGAAAAAAATTAGTTGATTTACCTTCTTAAATCAAATTTTAATTATTAGAAAATAAAATATACATTCTTAAAAAAAGCATGGGGAGGTAAATTTGAGGTTTGTTGCCTTTGTTTCTTCTTGATTAAAATTTTAAATTTAAAGATTTTATAAAAATACAACTAATTTATTGGGGGAAAAAATTAGAATGTCAGTTTTGAAATAATTAAATATACATTATGTCTAATTACACATGTAAAACTATAAATACCCGAATAGAAAAAACTTCAAAATACAGAGTGCAAGATTAAAAAACAAAGAATCCTTTTTTTGTTAATTCTTGACTCGTTAAGTTTTACAATGACAAAGATACAAATTAATAATTTATAATAATACATTCAAGAAAAAATATACCTTCCCAAATGAAGAAGGTAAAGATACCTCTTCAA